CTGGCAGCCTTTTCCCTTCCTCCATCCTGTGGTTCTTCCAGCCCCATCTCAGGCCATAGGCCATTGCTCTTTATCCTCTTCTCAGAATCAGGCCTTCTAAGTCCAGGATCCCCAGTCTCAAGGGACCTAAATGTGGCCTGCCCTCTGGGATTCACCAGACAGGGCTCCTTTCCCTTACTTTTGCAGCACCCACTTGCAGCACCCACTTCAGGCACTGATTACATGCTCCCACTTTCATTCCCTCCCTATTCTGTTCCCTGACTGCAACTCCTCCTGGAGCCATTTGCTTGGTGGTTGGTAGCAAAGACTCTGAACCAGACCACCTAAGTCTAAATCACAGCTCTACAACATACCTGCAGGGAGACCTGGGGTGTGCTACTTAACCAACTGAGCCCAAAGAGGGAGGTTTGGTCTAATTCACAGAAGACACATAACAACAGTGGCTGGGACCAGAAAGTGCCCTATGTGCTGCTGTGACTATTATGATCCCATTCCTTCACATCATCATTTACAAATGTTTGTGCCTCATCTTAAAAGCCAAGCAAGCCCCACCCTTAATGTACCAGGCCTCTACTCCTCCTGTTGTATCCATTGTGACTTATTCTATGAAAGAGTTGACACTGCTCACTAACTCCACCCTTCATTTCCTGGCCCATATCAGAGAAGCCCCAACCCTTGTGTCATGATGATGATATCACGAATGGCCAAAGCCAGCAGACATTGTTCAGACCATTCTTTCTGGGCTGGAAACAACCTGTAAACTGTAATTACCTAAAGTAGCCCTCTTGCATTTCTTATTTTTTAATTTTCTAGGTTTCTACTCTACATGTACCTGGATGCTGTGGGCTGGGTTGCCTATACTTTTCCCATCATACACTCTTTCTGCACTACCCTGGCCACTCCCCAGGGAGCTCAGGGCCTTGTGGTGTTGCTGACTTGATCACACTGAAAGCAGGCTGGCTGTTCTGTTTGCAGTGTCCTTTCAACCCCCAGTACAGACTTTATTCTTTTTACTACTGTTTATTGAACCCCGGGGCCCTTTAGCACTGAGCTACATCCTCAATCCTTTCTATTTTTTTTTTTTTTTAATTTTGAAACATGGTCTCACTAAGTTGCTGAGACTTTTCTCAAACTTGCCATTCTCCTGCCTCAGTCTCCCAAGTTGCTGGGATTTCAGGAGTTCACCACCATGCTGCACTTGACCAAGACATCTTTGATGCCCTGAAATATTTCTGTCTGGGGATGTATCTGAGTGGTAGAGCATGCAAAACAACAAACAAAAGAATTAATATTAGGGGATAGAAGAAAAGAGAGAAAGGAACAGAGAGCAGACTGATGCACTGATCCCCACGGGATAAGGGGAAGAAGGAGAGGCAACAGGAAGTTGGGCAGAAGATGGCGCAAGAGGAAGATGCCACTTGATTTTGGTCCTGTGGAGTGTGAGGGCATTTGAGAGACAGAATTGGAGGAGGAGCCGCAGGGGTGGAGCTAGTGAGAGAAGCTGGTCTGGGTGCTTCAGAGCTGTTAGATTCTATTTGTGTCTGATAGGGTTTCATGTGGGTAGAGAAAGGTATTCAAATTTACTGCTCAGTTATTACAAATTATTAATTATTATTCCTTTGATGATTATTCTAGATCTTACGTACAGTCAACATTTTTTATCCTTTATAAACATCTAATCAAGAATTCTTCCTCCTACTTTAAGAATCCTGCAATTATTTTTTTATTTTTTATTTAATTTTTTTTAATATTTATTTTTTAGTTTTTTCGGCAGACACAACATCTTTGTTTGTATGTGGTGCTGAGGATCGAACCCGGGCTACACACATGCCAGGAGAGCGTGCTACCACTTGAGCCACATCCCCAGCCCCCTGCAATTATTTTTAAACTATGCTGTTCATTAAGTTTTTCTGGTACTAGGGATTGAACCCAGGGGTACTTTACCTCTGAAGCTGCATCCCCAATCCTGTTCTATTTTGTTTTTAGATAGGGTCTCACTAATTTGTTAAGGGCCTTGCTAAATTGTTGAGGCTGGCCTTGAACTTGTGATCCTCCTTCCTCAGCCTCTGAAGTTACTGGGATTACAGGCATAAGCCACTGCACCTGGCAGGATATTAGTTTCTTAAGTGTTGTGAACACCTTAAAGGTGGTAGAATCTCATAGAGCCCCATGGTTTGTTTTGCTTTTTGGACGTGGTGGGATATTCCAGAGCTGTCCTGATGTAGAATCTTTGTTTCTTAGTTTCTTCTAGTGGATAATAGTGTTGAAGATCAAAGTCTTCATGCTTGTGCCATGGGAAAGTTAGGGGTGAACAGAAGTGCTGCTGGGTCACATCCCATTTTGTTGTTTCAGAATATTTGCTAGCTAAAGCTCTTGAAGCTGTGGTGAGCCTCAACTTAAGTCTGAAGGAGAGATGGATGGAGTAGGGGGAGGGAGAAAATGGAATAGGGAGAGGAGAAGCCAGTCAGTGTTCAGGGGAGGACCTGACCTTTGAGTTTGATCTTTTCTGCTCTGTGTACTGAAGGTTTCCAGGCTGTATTTTCCTGGACCATGTGATTTTTGACTAGGAAAATATAATTGGGCATTCCTGCAGCCATTGCTCTCCTGGATAGTGAAATTCAATGAAGTCACAAGTTTAGGAAAAAGAATGAGAGGTGGGAAAGTGAAGTGGGAATAGGGCGGTAACACTGTCTTTGGAGCAGTTGTGAAGCAGCACAAGGAAGAGATTATAAGGCATCTGGAAGGACGTGGTGGGAGGACAGGTGTGGCCAATGGAGACAGAGCAAGGATACTGCAAAGGAGGCACAAGGGGATGAGAAGCCCTGAGAAGGCAGGAGGGGTGGGTGCAGAGTCAGCAGTGTTTGGGGAGAGCTGCTCTCAAATATGTTGGGGGAGGACACACTTCCTAGGAGCCTGAGAAGACAGGAGGCCCTGGGTCACTCTTGGGCTTCCCTGGCCTTGGAGTCTTGCTTCAGCCCAGGGTTGAGCTCTGGCTTAACTAATCAGTTTAGGGGGAGGGTCACTGGGAGATGGCCTTGCTGAGTCTTGCAGGTTTTGAGCTCCTCTTCCCATCCCTATCTCCCTCCAGGGACAATTCAGGGACAACCCTTTCAACCAGGGCTGTTCTAGGAACTATTAACATTACCCTCTGTGCACCACTGGGACCCAAGTGAATTGGTAAAGCAGAGGCTCAAGTAGTGGACCTTGGGATGGTGGAGTGAGGAGAAGCTGGGTCTTCTTCCCTGGTCCCTTACCCAAGCATCCAGGCCCTGGCACTCACTCTTCCTTTCTTTCAGGGTTTTCTCTAGGGCACTCTGGGAGTCTCTGGGAATTCCCCTCATTTTGCCTTTCTAGGTTTTTCCCCCAAGAGATGAGGTAGAGGGAACTGCAGCCTGGATGAGGCTCCTGGCCAAGAGCCCCGGCACTTTGTGCTTTTCAAACTCAGGGGTTAAGGGTGATCTGTGAGTTCAGGCCAAGGTGGGTAGAGTGGCCCCTTACATTTGGCCTGTCACTCCTGAGGTACTCCTTTTTGGCTCCACAGGGAGGAGGGGACTGAGTGGGAGCCCATGGAGGCCCTGCTCTCTCCAAAGTACTCTCACCCATGCCATCCCACAGACCTTCCTGGGACCAAGTCTAAATCTGTGGATATCCATTCAGATGGGCAGTGCCCCGCCAGGGAGAAGCAAGGCTAAACCTATTTAGGACATGAGGAGTAGCAGGTGTACATTGGGAGAGGGGTATGTGTGGTTTGCACATGTGTTGGGGAGGCCACCGAGGTGGGGCTGGCCCTGAAGCTGAAGCACTTGAAGCTTAAGAAGCAGGATTATACACCTGGGAGGCACAGGGTCCAGGTCACAGAGCTTCAGACACACCCAGGTGTCCCTGGATAGACAAAGAAAAAAGATTGCACTGCTAACTAGCTGGTTGGCCTTGGGGCAATCCCCCACCTTCCTCAGTCCTAAAGACTAGTTTATAATGTTTTAAGGAATTTTTTTTTATTGGAAGTTTTAAAGTCCTATGTGAAACATACAGAGTGGAGCATTAGAAAATGCAGTGGTATGGGTAACCCACAGTACTCCCCAAGGGCACTTTTAGTGACTTGTGGTGCCAGCCCTCTCTTTGTCTGTTCTCCAGGGGCCCATGGCCTTGACTGTGAGCTGTGGGATGGAGGTTAGGGACAGCTCCCATGTACTGACTTTGTGTTTATCTTTCCATCCACCCAGTGCTGCAGCAGGAGGCCCCATCCCACCCGCTGATGCCAAGATGTGAGCCCCAAAAGGAGACCTCTTGGGCCTGAGCCCTCACTCACTCCTATTGGAAGTGCCATGCCCCCATGACAGTTTAATTCTTATAAATATATATTTTTTGCTGCTTTTTATGGCTGTCTTTCATGTCTGTTCTAGGTTTAGAGAAGCCTGTTTCCTGGGGTGTGGGGGAGGTTCTGAGGGGCTGGGACCAATGCCTCCTGGGAGGGAAGATCATTGCTCTCTGGAGACCTGAGCTCAGGAACCAACACTGTCTGGCTCCTTGACCTTGGGCAAGACACTTAGCATTTCTCTCATCCTTAAGATGTGGCAAGAGTGATTATCACAGCAACTGACCTGGCTGGCTTCCTGGCAAGGGCTGGAGATGCGAGGAGAGAAAACCAAGCGGCCAGGATAATACCAAGTGCCCCTCAAACTATTCCACAAAATAGAAATTTATTATTAGTTTAATAAACTCATTTATTATTAGATCTAATTGTGTGGGTGAACATATGTGTATTCTTTAGGATTGTGTGTGTATGTTTGTGTGTGTATGTGTGTGTGTGTGTGTGAGAGAGAGAGAGAGATAGAGAGAGAGAGAGAGATAACAAATCAAGCCCAGGGCCTTATGTATAGTAGGCGAGCCTTTTATTAGGTTTAGGAAGTTTCCTTTTATCTTTTTTTTAAAATTTTTTCTTTCACTGTTCATATGGTGCACTACATAATTGACATTATTCCAAGATTTAGTGTTTAATGATTAATAGTATGACTGACCAGCACCAAGACATGAAGACACTATGTTAAAAAATCTGAGAGAAAAAAATAACTCTATAAACTAATGTGATAAGAATCTCCATTATACCATAAAACCATTTTACACATAGTAGTTAGCTACAAGAAACCATTCTTAGCTTAGGAAAATGGTGTTCCAGATTTCAGTAAAAACTACTAGCGACCTTCAACTCTTTTGTGTGGCAATATCTTATTTCTGTTTTCAAACTGTTCCACCCAGCCTGAATTATGAGGTCTGGAGTATTTTTCTCCAATCACAGATGTGATTACCAATATTGTCAATTCTTGCAATGATCTGATGAGACATGGTCTGATATGTATCTTGTATTCATTGCAGAACATGTGCCCACCAAGGTGGGAATCCTGCATGATGTTGGAGTCACTCTTGGTCATCTCCCTGTTCCCAGTTTGGTGATAATATCTCAGATATTATCAACTAAATCTGTGAAAAGAAGGGAAGGAAAGGCGGAGATGCAAACCTGAGCAGAGGGGAGTCATCTGTCATCTGAGGTAGGGGCAAAATAAAAGCTCAGTAAGCCCAAAGGTCATGTAGCCTTTCAAAATTGCCCTGCTTTGAGGCAAAGGGGCTGGGTCTTTATGCCCTGTGGTGATTACTCCTTGCATGCAATCTGTTCCCGGAAGGAGGGGAGCCCCAAATTTGGGGCTGTCTCCCAACCACACTCCAGCTACTGAGTAGATGAGTTCTTCATTCCTGGATGGGCATTTGAGAGGCATCTCACAGGGTCCAGTCTGCAGTCTTAGTGTGTATAAAAAACTCAGTGTCCATTGTAAGTTGTGGTCACAAATCAGGAAAATGAAATCTAACTTGATAAGGGATGTTGGGAACATGGTTTATAATTATGGGGAACACACATGGGTTAGACTGTTAGCTCATCTTACCTGACATTGATTTCAGATAGATTAAAGAATTGAAAGAAAAAGGAAACAATATACCTAATACTTATGAACTGAAAGGAGAGGGCAACACAAGTAAACTTAGATGATACTAATGAAATGATTAATAGATTTGAGTACATAAAACAAGCATTTACATTCAAAATTTCACATAAAATTAAAAGGCAAACAAAAAATTGAGAACACAATTGAAATAAACACATCAAAAATATTAGTGTCTATTAAGTTATATTTGATTGGTTCTTTATGTTAGCCTATCCTTCCCTCCCCTTTTCCTTTATTTTACTTTAGCTTGTGCATTTGAGAAAAAACACTTGACCTTTGAGTTTCTGAGTTTGTTTTTATTCTTACTTAGCATGATATTCTCCATTAGCATTCATTTACTAGCAAATGTCATAATTTCATTATTTTTTAAAAAGTAATCTTGCAAATAACAAAGAGAAACCAAACACATCAAAATT